AAACAACAAGTGTTTGGTGCAAAACCAAACACAAAACAAGCAAGTCGAGAGATCCTAAGGCAAGGCGCGTAGCCGAGACCTCTGAGAACTCAAAACGAACACGAACATGGATGATCACTGAGTGTTCAAACAGTGACGTCCAAGTCTTGAGGACGGTCAAAAATAGGGTGTCTATAGGTGTGTCAAATTCAAACGCTCATTTTCAACACATGGCAAATTGGCTTTTACTTTACTACATTGCTTTGATTGTTTTGATTTTACGTGTCTTTGTGCAGAATCTGTGTTTACTTCTAATTCATGTTTATGTGTTGTGTCTTGACTTAAGCTATCTCGTGGGCCTTATGGCTTTATTTCTGAGGCCTTCCCGGGAATGAGATAATTTCACTTCAAAGTTTGCCTGCTTCTGAATTCAGCTGCTATTGCATTATTCTAGTCTCCTCCTCTTGCGTGTGATATGTGAGGATTGTTCACCTCGGTTAAAAATAGAAGGTGTGTCTGTTGTTCACACCATCTTTCCTCCTCTCGCATGCGATGCGTGAGGATTGTTCACCTCGGTTAAAAATAGCAGGTGCGCTTGTTGTTCACACCACCTTTCTTCCTCTCGCGTGCGATGCGTGAGGATTGTTCACCTTGGTTAAAAACAGCAGGTGCGGCTATTGTTCACACCACCTTTCCTCCTCTCACATGTGACACGTGAGGATTGTTTTCCTCTGTTAAAAACAATAGGAGTGCCTGTTTGTTCACACCACCTATCCTCTTCTTGTGTGCGATGTGTGAGGATTGTTTATCTCAATTAAAAACATCGGGCGTGTCCCGGTGTTCACATCTCCTTTTCTCTTCTCGCGTGTGACGCGTTTGGATTGTCCAGATCAGTTAAAAATGGCAGGTGCGCTTGTCTGTTCACACTACCTCTCCTCTTATTGCGTGAGGCGCATTAGGATTGTTTGCTTTGGTTTAAAACATCAGGTGCGCCTGTTTGTTCACACCACCCTTCCTCCCATCGGGTAAGAATCGTTAGGATCTCGGTTGAAACCACAGGTGTGCTCGATATAGGAAGGGTGAAGGACTACATGAGGCGTAGTTAGGTCGGCATTTTCTTACATCCTTTCTACATTAGGCATAGTTTGGTTTGTGCTTTCTTTGTCCTTTCTACGTAAGACGTGCCTGTTTATTCAGTTCTTTCTGTGTGATACACGGTGGGGTTTATTTTCCTTTAATTTACATTTTCATTCGAGCTTTAGGTTCTTGTTTAGATTGTAGCATTGTTTCATTGCTTCATTTGCATTCAAATGTTTCATTGCATGATCATAAGTAATTTGGCGCATTTCGTTTGTGCATTTTGCCCTTGAGTTCAATCTTTGCATTTATGTCTTGATTTCTTGCCCATGCCTTGTAGCCTCGTCAAATGGGTCGTCTCTGGGTTTTGACAGTCACTCACGTCACTTTATGACTTCAATCTTTGTCAAAGAGGGGCAACTGTAGACACCTTATTTTTGAGCACCCGCAAGGCTCAAGCGCTTTACCTAGTACACTCGATGATGAAAGTGGTGTTGTGCGTGGTTCGAGGTCTCAACGAAGGGGCTATGTTTAAGCTCCAAAACAATCCCAAACCTCCCATATTCCCACTACTTGTACCCAAGAAATCCATTTTTACACATTGTGTCACCCTATGTTGAGTCTGAAGCAGAGAGATAGGGGATCACATTGAGGCACGGTCGTGCCTCATTGAGGGCCGGTCGTGGTTATTAATGGCCAGCCGTGCCTTAGTAGCGAGAAACACTGTTCTGGGTGGGAGCTCACCAGCTATCCATTTTTGAAGATATTTATGACCCCTCTTGCTCAAATTCTATAAAAACAAAGTTGTATTTCTGATTTGAGGGTTGAAGAATTTCTAAAAAGATTATACACCTTCTTGAGAGCTCTTTCTTCTTGTGCAAGCAACCTTTGAGCAAGCTTACCACCTTGAACCTATATCCATACATCATATACACCTTCACACCTTAGCCTTGGAACCTTGGTTAAGCCTTGAGCATCTCAATTCAAGCTTGAGAGTGTGTTTGGACTTAGTTTGATTCACAACAAAGAGCTTACCTTTCTTGAGAGGTATAAGCTTACTATCCCTTCTGTTGCTCCCTTTTACTATCTCTTGCTATCTAGTTCTTGTATTTTTGTATTGTTTTGATCCTCTTTCAAGTGTCTAAGCTTGGGTTTGGAGAGCTACCAAAGGGTAGAGAGAGCTAACACCCTTTTTTACACCTTCACCTATAGCTCAAACCCTTGTTTTGCACCCTTTTTCTTTTCTTTCCAAATTGATTTTCAGAGTTTAAAAGAGACTATAAATCATGCTTTGAGGTTTCAAAAGTGAAGGGGTTAACCACCCCTCTCTATTCTTACTTACTGGCCTTATTTTCTCTCTTTGTTGTTTAGCTTTTTGGGCTCTTTTCATGCACTTTGACCCCCTATTTTTTACCTATTAGGGGTTGTTTTAGGGCTATCCTAGGTTGTTTAATTAGTTCATGCTTTTGGTCTCATAAGTTTGCGTATATGGCTTGTTACATGTGGTTCTAAGCTTTTCTTTAATTAATTTCCATGTTAAGAATCTCATTTTAATAATCAACTTACCATCCATTTCTTTCATTTGAGAGTTGTTTCAACCAGTTGATAGTTATTCAAAACATAAGCTAGAAATCTATACTTAATGGCTTAATCTCTACTGAGGTTTATTGTCAACGACATAGTCTCTTTTTCATGTTGAGAATCACTTGCCGTTTGACACACTTCTCTTTTAGTCGACGTAATCATCACCTTGGACTTAATAGACTAAAGAATGGAAAGGTCTAAAAATTGCTAAAATGAACCAACCCACATAAAGAAAATGAGTCATATTGCTTAGGTTCGCCCGAACATTATGCCGAGTCCATCATGTCAAAGGTCATCATACATCAATTCATGATGTTTTGATGAACCTTAAAGCGTCTCTGCTTCCCTCTTTGAGTTCACTCTATGATAGGAGAGAGGGGTGGTTGTTGTTCATTGCATTTATTGATCTTTGTCCAAATTGTGTCCGAAATCATCAAGTAATCAACTTGCTCATTGATGGTTTTAGAAATGACTTCGTTCTTCTCTTGAGGCTTTCCATTACAAAGAAGGGCAAAAGGGACAAACAGGGATTGACATTGCTCTGTGTGCCCTGTTTTCACTTCAGAACACAAAAACAGGATTTTGCATAAAATTAAGGCATGGCCGGCCCTTTTTGGACCCGACCAGGCCTCATTAGGGGCTGGTCAGCCATCAATGTTTGAAGGTGAAACAGAGCAGGCCTAGGCAAACAGAGCAGTTCTTGGGCATTGTGCATGCAACCCTTGTGCATCCTTGCTTACATCAATGTTGTAAATTAATACTCTGAGTATTGTTGTAATTAATTATTATTGTTGTAGTTAATTATTATCGTTGCAATTAGTCTTGTTGTAATTAGTGTTGTAATTATTATTATTGTTGTTCATTTGTAATTATTATAGCTAGTTAACTTAGATAGCTGGTTTATTTCTCATTATTATCCTTGTTGTAATAGAGTAGCTAGCTAGTTAATTCTTTAATATTCATTCAGTTTTGTAATACTTAGTTTAATTCAGATTCTCGAACATTGATTCGCACCCTCTTATGCGAGGGCCAACATGTAATAAGTTATATGTCTTCCAACCCCATGTCTTTCTCCCTTTTATTTACCAGCTTACTATGGTTAGTATAGAACATCATCTTTCAAATTAGCATTCTTATGATTCGCATCCATTATCTTACATGCATCTAAGGTTCGGCTCATCATACTAACCCAAATGTTTAAATTCATTACTTGAATATGTGCTTCATCACATGTCTTTAATGGAATCATATGCCATGTTCATAGCCGAGCGTATTAATTACATGACTTGTATGTGTCGCATTAGTCATATTGCATTAGTAAGGAGCATGCATATTTTCTAATTATTTTGCTTTATTTTGGCTCAGAGTACTAGGTGAGCAATTTTGAGTTTTAGCATCTTACATTGCGTGTGATTGTTGCCATGCAAAGCATATTTCCATGAGGCTAATTGCTTAGATGATATACCTATTTGAATGCTTGTGGATGGAGGCTAATTGCCAAAATTGGGACAAATTGATTAATGTACAAACTCACATTTTCAAGTGACGAGTATCAAAAAACAATTTTCAAATAAACATGAAATCAAAGTGTTCCAATCTTCGCAAATTAGTCTATGCTTATGTGCGTCACATAGTAAAGTTAGTCTAATAAAACCAGAACATGAGCATATAATGTAAATAAGAATCACATCATGATTAGTAGAGTTCGATCTTTGATCAGGTGAGTGGGGTGCTCAATTCATGACCTTTCCCTCTCGTACCTAAGTTCCCGAGATGAGACACTTTGGTGATGACGAACTAATGGCTTTTGGCACGAGTTCGGGTTTCCTAAATTTCCTAAAAATATTTAGGCGGCGGCTTTGAAAACTGGCAAAGCAGTCCATTTTTGGCATTTGATTCAAACATCTATTTTCCAAAAGAATTGTCGGATTTGGACTCTTTTGTGTTCTCACTGTTTCACATTGCACTTTGTGAAATCAGATTCAGAACTACTGGAGTCCGAACTGTGAGGCTAGTTGTATCCAAAAGGAGCACGAAAATCAAGCCACACCAACGGAACCGATGGATTCCAAATTTATAGTGACGCCTCCAACAAAGGCTTGGGGTGTGTGTTAATACAAAATGGGAAGGTAATTGCCTATGCTTCTCGACAACTTCGACCTCATGAAAAGAATTACCCGACTCATGACCTTGAATAAGCAGCTGTGATGTTTGCTCTAAACATTTGGCGACATTATTTATACGGTGTGACTTGTGAGGTGTATACTGATCATAAGAGCCTCAAATACTTCTTCACCCAAAAAGAACTAAACATCAAACAGAGAAGATGGTTAAAATTGATTAAAGATTATGATCTGCAGATTTTGTACCATCCAGGGAAGGCAAATACAATCACTGATGCCTTGACCCGAAAATCTATTGGAAAGTTGTCATGTTCGCTCACTGGCCAGAGTGAATTGTTATGTGACCTAGAGAGGAATGAAATTGCAATAGTCCTGCATGAACAAAGAAGAACCCTAGCCGCCATTTCTGCTCAGCTTGCAATCATTGAACAAATTAGAGAGAAACAACTGGAAAATGAGTTCTTGAAGAAAATTTTTGATGAAATTTTCTTAAAACCGAAGCCGAGATTTGTGATTGAAGATGGTGTGCTGAAATTCCATAATAGGCTATGTGTACCAGATTATTTTGACTTAAGAAAATGTGTTATGACTGAAGCTCACAATTCAAAGTTTGCTATGCATCCGGAGAATACAAAGATGTGTCATGACTTGAAACAGAACTTCTGGTGGCCTAGAATGAATAAAGGCATTGCTGATTTTGTGGCTAGATGTTTGCATTGCCAACAAGTTAAAGGTGAGCATTAGCGACCCACTGGATTACTTCAGCCGCTTCCAATACCGAAATGGAAATGGGAGCACATTACCATGGACTTCATTGTGGGATTGCCTCACTCTTCTCAAGGTATGGATTCTATTTGGGTCAATGTTGATCGCTTAACTAAATCTACCCAATTTTTACCTGTCAAATCTTTGTATAATGCGGATAAGCTAGCTAACTTGTATGTCAATGAAATTGTGAAATTGCATGGAGTCCCAGTTTCCATAGTATCTGACAAAGATCCTAAGTTTACTTTCAAGATTCTGGCAAAGTTTATAGCAAGCTTTGGGAACTAAGTTAAGACTGAGCAGTGCATATCACCTACAAACAGACGGACAATCAGAAAGAATGATACAGACTCTAAAAGATATGCTACGAATGTGTGCCCTAGACTTTTAAGGCAATTGGGAGACCTACTTACCATTGGCTGAGTTTTTGTATAACAACAGTTACCATTCAAGTATCGGTATGGCTCCTTACGAAGCTTTGTGTGGTAGAAAATGTCTCTGATCTGTTAGGCTGAGGTAGATGACAGACCTTTGTTGGGACCAAAACTTGTGCAAGAAACAACGGAGAATGTGAAATTAATTCAACAGAGATTGAAAACTACACAGAGTCGCCAAAAGAGTTACGCAGATGTTTGAAGAAGAGATAGAGAATATGAAGTTAGGAATCACGTGTTTATCAAAGTGACTCCTATGAAAGGGCAAATGCGATTTAGGGTGAAAGGAAAGCTAGCACCAAGATACATTAGCCTGTATGAAGTTTTAGAGAAAATTAACCCGATGACTTATCAAGTAGCCTTACCGCCAATCATGGAACATATGCATAATGTTTTTCATGTATTGATGCTTTGGAAATATTTATGAGATCCACTCCATATGATTGAGCCGACTCATGTGCTCTGAAAGATAACTATACATACAAAGAAAGGCCAATTCAGATTGTTAACCACCGAATCAAAAGGTTGAGAAATAAAGAAATCTCGTTGGTGAAAGTTCATTGGTAGAATCATGGAGGAACCTATGCAACATGGGAAATAGAAGAATATATAATGAAGAGATATCCAAATTTATTTCCATTCGACCCAATGTTCTTCCAAAACGAAGGTAATTCGAGTTTAGAGGACCGGACCCTTTTAAGGGGGAAGACTGTAATAACCCCGACCCATGATTAACTATTAAACCATGATTAAGGATGCTAATAAGTAATTAAGAAGAACTTCTGAATTATTTGCATGTGTGTTACATTATTTGAATTTCTATCTATGTATTGTAGAAATATCTGTTTGTGTTATTGTTTCGTTCTATGAATTGAAGGCCTTATCGGCGTCCGATCATGAAATTGACTTGGATTATGTGTTAGTTGAAATTTTTAGAATTTTATGGTAGGTTTAATTGAAATTTGATTCGGAACGAAATAATTAGAATAATTAGTGCTCAATTAAGCTTAATTAATGAATTCTTTAATCCAAGCCTATATAAGGCACTAGTGGACCCTTGTATATACTTTACACTCTCATTTTATTCCTTCTTGAGGCATCAAACGTGAGAGAGAGAGAGAGAGAGAGAGAGTGAGATCAAGTGTTGAGTTTGGAAATCTAAGAAGAAGATGAAGAATTATAGAAAATTCAAGGTGTTGAACTAAGTGACTCAACCATTTGGACATCCAAGACACAATTAAACTTCTAAGGTAAGAATTTCTATCTTCTAGTTTGTAATTTAGTTGGTTGCCACATGAAATCAAGTGTGATAGGTGAATTAACATGAGAATTGAGCTTAAATAGATGAATTCCATACATGCATGCATATATCATAGCATTTTGAGTTTGATTTCAACAAATTTTTACATGCAAGGACCTATTTTGTTTAATTATGGAAGCTCATTGTAGTTTTGTACCTTAACACTTCATTTGTGCATGTTTTGAAAGCTTTGAAGTTGAGAACTTACATGCATGTTATGTTTTAAAATATTTGAGTTTTGCTTTGCACAATTGACATGCTTTTGGGCCTTGATGATTGCGAAATGATCTTTAATTCATGATATTCTACAAGTTTCTAAGTGTTTTCTTGAGTTTTGGCCAAGAGGATGAGTTTTGATGTGTTAAATTCGAATTTTGAGCTTGGGAGTGCAATCTGGAAATTCCAAAATTCTGCCTCTCCGCTGGAGCAACAGATCTTGCGCTCAAGCGACCACTCTATGTTTTGAACCTCCGCTCGAGCGACAGAAAGGTAACTCGAGCGTATATTGCATGCTCTCAGAAGTTGTCACATTTTCCAAATCGCTCGAGAGACAAGAGCTGCGCTCGAGCGAAGACCTCAGTCTCACACTTGAGCAACCATCGAGCGTGCATCGAGTGAAAAAATCAAGCAACTAGTACTTTTTTAGAGTTTACAGACCGCTCAAGCTAGGGAAGTTGCACTCAAGCGGCCACTCACATCTTTGACCATCCGCTCGAGCAAAGAAAGCCATACTTGAGTGAGGACCCTGTTTTCAGCATGTTTAGCTAAGTATTGAACAGCATGTTTTGGCATCCTCATTACATCCTAGGCATTCCTAATGAGGATAAGACTTACAAACACATTAAAAACGAAATGTAATGAGTTAGGTTATATCCGGATGTGTGTTTCAAGGATATATTTGTTATGTTTGTCTAGGTCACACGCCGTAAGCTCTTTGAATTGTATGCTCTGTCTGTCTGCTTCCAGAGCCATCTGTGAGTAATATCTTTGTAAAGCTATGTTTGATTATAAGTATTTTCTGACTGAAATGATATGATCTGTTTTCTGAAATGCTATTTTATGAATCACGAATGAATGCCCATTTTTTTGAAATGTATTGTGGCATTCTTAGTTCACATGGCCCTCGCCCGAGGGTAACAATACCATGGCCAATGTGCATGCAGCCCTCGCCCAGAGGTAACAATACCATGGCTTATATTCATGTGGCCCTTGCCCTGGGGTAACAATACCGAGGCCTATACTCACATGGCCATCACTTGGGGGTAACAATACCATGGTTACTTGTGCACAAGATGTGGACCTATGTGGTCGTTGGTACCGATTATACAAATTCGATATGATATGACAGTTAAATGGATGTACCACATATAACTGCTATGATTTCTGGTCAAGTAAGCGAATCTGAATTTGTTTCTGATTTTGAAATCTACTATAGGACATCATTCATTAAATCCTTTACTCTGTTATTATTCACTGCGTTTCGCTCACTCTATTTATATTATGTATGTAGGTGACTAGGCGCGTGACCAGGCTCAGAGTTGATGACCTGGAGTTCCAGTCTGTCAGCCACCCATTGTGCCTCCCGAGGAGGTTTCGAATTAAGTTAAACCTTGTGGCCATGTTTTGTGAATGTTTAAGACTTCGTTTTCTTTGAAACGTGAACCAACTTTTGTTCATCTGTATAACTGGCTATGTCCCCTTTTGGCAAAATCTGTAATGAATGAAATTTAACACCTTTGTATATATATGTAAATATATTTAAGTTTTAAATTTCTGTCGCATGTCTGTCAACACAACTCAATGGACCATGTATATTTTATATATTTTCTTTTGCAGCCCCTAATTATATGTTATTCTGTTCAGAGGCCTTTGGAAATCCAAGGATTACTAGCCGGTTACGGTACTAAACCTATAGGGGTGGGTTTGGGTCGTGACAGTTACAGAACGAATACGTACTGAATTACACACCCAGAATCAATAACTTAGTTCTTTCTTATCTTTGTGTGTTTCTACTTCTTATCCTCGTTATTATGTCTTAACCATGGCCTAGGAATGCCTAGGATGCAATGCGGATGCCAAAATGCACTTTGAAACACTTAACAAAATTTGCTGAAAACAGGGCCTTCACTAGAGTGCAACTTCCTTCACATGAGCGGGTGCTCAAAAATGTGAGTGGTCACTAGAGCGCAACTTCGGTCTCTCGAGCGGTCTATAAACTCTACAAAAGAACTGGTTGATTGATTTTTTCGCCCGACGCACGGTCAAAGGTCGCTCGAATGTGAGACTGAGATCCTTGCTCGAGCGCAACTCATGTCGCTCAAGTGGTCTGCAAAACTTGTAAACTTCTGGGAGCTTGAATTTTACGCTCAAGCCATGTCATGACCCAAACCCGCCCCTATAGGTTTAGTGTCGTAGCCGGCCAGTAATCTGTGATTACCGAAGGCCTAACTGAACAAAACAAATGAATAGGGCTAGCAGAAGCTAATATATACGAAAGTAAAACGTCCAACAAGCTGTGAACTTACTCGAGACGAAAACGTAGCTATGTATTTATCTATATACGCACATGTACGTAAAAGCATTACAAGTTTCATAAAATTACACCATAACCAAAAGAGATAAGTCATTTCCATCAACAAAAACTATTTCATCAATAACAATCAGTCACAACACGTGTGGGAGTGCCAAAAAGAGGTAATCACTGGATTTGCCAGTGTTCCGATAGATGGGAACCTCAACGAGAGGCACAAAATGTGGTTTGACCTAAACGGAGATAAAATCATCAGCTACGTCCCCTCTTGAACTGGATTACCTACACACACAGATATACAAAACATGAGCTAAAGCCCAGTGAATAACGACCGAGTAAAGGGATTCTGAATGGTAATCATAATGTAAAATAAAGTATATACTGAGCAGGTTTGTATTACTTGTGAGAGGCATAATATGACACGTAGTATATCCAGAAGCAATAAATGCAGGCGGTCTAAAAGACTGAACAGACGGTCTTGGAGACCGGATAGGCGGTCATGTAGACCGGACAGACGGTCATGGAGACCGGATAGGCGGTTATGTAGACCGGAGATCAGCTATGATAGCCATATGAACAGGTGTCAGGGTTGCCACAGTAAATAATGCAAACAAAGATAGAATCATCATTCATTAGTATAAGAAACATATCAAAGCAATGCATAATTTTGAAGCAGAGAAATATATTTTAAATTAAACATATCTTTACAACAGTGTTACTCACAGTCAGTTCCGTCTTGCAGATGACTGGAACGGGGCGTTTGACCTACACAAACAGATATAAGCGTTGTTCACTTAATTCACCAAACATCCAAGTAGTTAGTTCCATAACTTACGATTTGATTGGTTTAAATGTGGTTTATTCTTGTTAAATGCTCATGCAATGCAAATGGGCATTAATTACGGGTGTGAAACACGCTAACGGAGGCCCGGGAGTGGAGTAAATGACACAAAAAAGTGAATCCGAGGCAGCCAAACAGCTGCACGTACGAAGCTCCATGGCCGCATGGGCGGGACCCTCTCCG